GATCTTGTCAGTTTGTTAGTATTATAAATATAATGACAGCTTGCACTGTATGCTTCCCAGGAAAGACGGTTTGAAAACAGAAAATAAAATACAGCTGGTGGAGACTATTGTAAAATATAAAATATAATACAGCTAGTGGAGACAGTTGGAATATATGAAATAAAATACAGCTGGTGGAGACTATTGTAAAATATAAAATATAATACAGCACGTGAAGACGGTTGTAAATAAGAAAATAAAATACACCTAGTGGAGACGGTTGAAAAATATAAAATAAAATACAGAGCGTGAAGACGGTTGGAAAATAGAAATTAAAATGCAGCTAGTGGAGATGGTTGTAAAATCTAAAATATAATACAGCGCGTAAAGACAGTTGGAAAACAGAAAGTAAAATAAAGCTAGTGGAGACGGTTGAAAAATAGAAAATAAAATACAGCGCGTGAAGACGGTTGGAGAGTAGAAAAGAAAATATAGCTAGTGGAGATGGTAGAAAAACAGAAAATAAAGTACAGCTAGTGGTGACAGTTGGAAAACAGAAAGTAAAATAGAGCGCTGAAGACGGTTAAAAAAATAGAAAATAAAATACAAAGCGTGAAGACGGTTAGAAAACAGAAAGTAAAATACAGCTAGTGGAGACGGATTGAAAATAAACAGATTGTTTCAGAATGCTATCAGGTCAGCTGCGGTAATAGTATAGATTGTAAAGCATATAGAGCTTGCTGTTAAGCGGGTATTTGTGCAATGCAAAAGCTATCTATTATTATTATTATTATGATGAGGTAGCCTATTGTGGGACTTAGCTCACAGAGCCCTGGCGTACGGATAGGGTTAAGCTAAAGTTTCAACTTCATATAAGAAATATCACATTATTAAATCTTTGTCTTAGAAAAAAACTGTGAAAACCCGATCATATCATCGCCACTGTGGTAGCATCGGATACCTACAAAATTTTCAAATTTGCTTCTTTTTTTTGCGAAATGTATTCTACAAACCATGTTTCCTTTGCTGGTTAAAAATTTATATTTAAATAAACCACCAAAAGTGGACTTTTTAAACTAAAAAAATCAGATAACTCTATGACGTCCTTTTAATAAATCAGATTTGCCCTTCTGAAAAATTTATCTGACGTCTCTTCTCCCATCTCACCATGACAGTGATGATGTACTGCTCTTTCTGTGTCGAGACAAGTAAGCTTAGTCCACTCACACTCACAAGGAGATGCCCACACTCAGGCAGTATGTGTCGAAAACCGGTAGTGTCTGATTTGGAAAGTGACCACAAAGACTAACTCTTATTGTATTGCAAGCAACCCAGTATCGCAACAGACAACCAAGAACATCATCAAATGCAACATCAGGGAACAGTGGCTCAATGGATGGGCAATGGGCAAAACTGGAAGAACTGTATTTGCACACATGACAGCCCCCAACTCTAAAGATGCAACAAATTCCCTGAGTAGAAGAGAACAAGTCACTATCTTTCGCCTGCGAACACAACACACCCCACTGAATTCCTACCTTAATAGGATCCGCAAGGATACCCCACCCGACTGCCCGTTGTGCGACTGCCAGGATGAAACAGTACCACACCACCTCTTCACTTTGCGACTGCGTAGCACCTACCTACCTGCCTCCCCAGACATCAGAAATACTCTATACAGCACAGCTGTTTAAAACCTGTAAATTCTTTGCCATATCGACAGTCGAAGGGCTAGAACCCAAATGTCTGCTGGATCGAAAAAGTAAAGTACTGTATTGCAAGTTTCAGGTCATCTTTATTGAAAAATTATAGACGAAAAAAAAAAATGCACTAATGGCAATTCAGTTCTGAATATTATAGAATAAAAGTACTTGCTACAACACGTTCAGAAATCAGGCGCAAAATTTAAAACACAGTTCTAAATTTGTATATCCACAGAATGAATCCCGTTCATACTTTAATCATTTTCAAACAGACAAACATTTTATCCATGTAACCGGCATTCACTCATTTTTTCCATTTTTCAGTATCAATTATACTGTACCTTGGATTTTCCCGTACCTTGAATGTTAATAATAATAGTAGCATTCATTTGACTAACTGTACAAATACACCTCAAATAGAGCCACAAGAAAGTTAAGATTAAGAACACTATGAAGCCCCAGAAGTATAATGCCCAAAGTGCACTGAAGAGTATACTGCCGTGCCAAGGCAGAGCGAAGTATGCACTTTTTAAGATTTCGAGTTACGTCGCGCTGCCATTGGAAATATGGGCATGGCCCTTCAGTTACGTCTGTTTGCCACAGTGAAATATCGTCCTATTTGTCGTTCAGATACGTCCTCCTGCCTTTGACACAAGATGCAGAATGGGTATAGGCGTCCTCTTGAACAAATTAATAATTTTTGCAGATAGGTCTGTCTGCCTTGGCACGGCAGTATAGTTAAGGGCAAAATAGCTCTCAGGCGACGACTAGGTCTATATTAAACGTAAGACCACGCAGCGGCAGATATGTACATCCAAAAACAAAGAAACAAAGATACAAAAGAAGTTTTTTACCATCTAGCATAAGGCTTTTGTCAGAATGAGCATAGATGTGTGTTGCTCTTAGAGTATGTATCGATTTATAACTCCAAAGGTCTTGTATTTAAATTCCTGCATGTGGTTGAATGATACATCTGATGTAAATGTACATTTTGTCAGCTTTACTTTACTTCTCTTTTCATACTGAATTTTAATGAGAGTAATATATAATAACATTTTTTAAAAAAATGTATACCTGCATGTGTTTTTACGGTCGTATACAGCCAAGAAAAATTTCCCTCTGGGATCATAAAGTATTATCTTATCTTATCTTATCTTACCTTATCTTATCTTATAAAATCATATACACACTGTAAAAAGGCGTAATATGTTACAAGCATAAAAACGCACATAATTTATGTAGAAATATTTTTAAAATAGGCGTCTATTTTGACTACCCCTGCATGGTCTTCTCAAGACGAAAGCTTTTTCACCACAACTCACTTTCAAGGGAGAGTTTTACTAGTCTTAGTCTTTTTGACCTGTGCTGTTCAAAAGAACAGAAAAACCCAAACGTTTTGTGGTAAAAAACAGAACGTCTTGAAATTGAAAGTAGATCATTCAAACAGGGAAATGTTTTAGTTTTAGTAAGTGCTTTACAGCACTTGCAACACAATAAGGTCATATAAGTGACGAAGATTAGAGGTGTTACAAGAGAGTAACAAACATAAAAAAGAAGGAGGAGAGATAAGGACGATAGATGTTTGATAGGAAAGAAGAAGCAAACCACACCAGAGCACCTGCCAACCACCCACAGAGGGAAACGTGAATCAGGATACAACCCTCACTTTCAGCCAGTCAATGGCAGTGGCAAATAACATCAGTCACATTCAACATTCCCGTCATTTTTTTGACGTTTTGAGATTAGCAATGGAAGCTGTTGCACCTGCAAAACAGACACAACACACGTTTTTTTCTAAATATATTTTTGATTTGTCAAAATGATAAATTCTCAAAGAACAAGAAAAAAAAAAGAAGAAAAGGAAGAAAAGGAAACGTGGCCAACCCCACGGACACTACAAGAGAAGCTATACGGGCCGAAGCTATACGGGCCGAAGCTATACGGGCCGAAGCTATACAGGCCGACAGATGAACTGAGCAGGACAGCCCGATTTATGACAGATACCAGACTTCAAGTGTGATGCGATCGAGAAGAATAAGAAGATAAATTCTCCCAAGGACCTTCACAGAAATCTGGGGAACTAATCAAATTATCCAAATGTGGCCACAGCTCAGTTTGCCCCCAAAATGACTAACGAAATTATCGAATGAGCAAGACGATAAAGTGATCGTACTGAACTTTCTGCTGCTGTATATTTATCACATATCTAGTCTTGTAGGCATGACTGACATGAGCCGTCCACAAACAACAGAATATTCTCCCCAAGTTTCTCTCGTTATTGACTTGGATGTAAGCGACAGCATAATTGCACAAGAATTATGATTGCATCGGGTCCCTGGTAGGGGGTCAAGGGGACAAAGCCCCCCTGAAGCTGAAGCATTTTCATCACAGTTAATGCCCGAATCCTGTCTCCCAGCACATTGTCCTCGAATTATATCAATTTATATTAAAATAACAATTAACATAAACATTTTGTTCACCTTATTTTCATCCCCACCAATACCTAAACCCTCATTTGTTCCCTCAAATAAAAACATCAGTCAGAAGTAAAAGACCTAAGCTTCTGATCTGTAACAAAGAAAGATACAGAAGGTCATTTTTACCATCATCTATCAAAATGCTTCCATCCTAACCATCTTGTATAAGTATACTTACGACCTTAGAGCATGCATCAAAATAACATTGAGTGTGTATCTAGCTTAAGATTATTATTGTTTATATTGCTGCTCATTTATTTATGCATGTGATTGTAAGCCTACGTGTGTGTGCATGTGTGTGTGCGTGTGTGTGTGTGTACACGTGGTGGAACACCAAACTTGTGTTCCAAACCTGTAAGTGTACATCATACATAAACAGAAAACATCATCAAAGTACATTATACATGAATCTCTCACAAAAACATACATAGCCTACAAAAACTGGAAGTCCAAAATGTACAAATCACTCATACACCTACCTACTTTATTAATAATTCTGTAAGTACATGAACGCAAATTTTCGAGGGCCGCCAAGTAAACTATAGTCAGTCATGTTTTTCAAATTTTACAGGAGAAACAAAAAACAAAAAAAAGCCAGAATTTTCTTGAAGAGTTTTGGGTGGATAAACTTCATTTCATGAGGGAGCCTGATATCTGTCATGGCATTTGTAGGCTCTCATAGGAAAATAAAGTTTAGTTTATCCACCAAAAACAGACAGAGGAACATCATCCGTTCTTCTGTAGAAAACTAACTGAATAAGGGGATGTTTTCTTCCCAAGCTACCCCACACATCTAATTGCCTTTACTCCTCAAGACAACAATTAGAACAGACATGCAGCTATTACCGAATGGCATCATGCAGAAGAGTTAACGCTCAGATGCTACTGGATCGCTAACAATCCACCCAAAATACTTCAAGAAAATCTGGTTTTTTGTCTCTCCGGTAAAATTGGAAAAACATGACTTACCATAGTCTACTTGGCGGCCCTCCAGATTATATTAGATAATTAGATAAACGTCTAACTCGAACGTTGCAGCCGGCCAAGGTTCAAAAAGACTTCCTTTACCGGCGGCGTCGGGTTTGAAAGACATCAGACCGGAGAAGGGTGACGGCTGATTCACTCAGCTATGATGACGACGAGCTGGCGCTGACTTCCTTCTCCTCTCCTTCGGCCGAGTGCTTGTCCAGATATCTCTCTGCGTAGTGGACAAACTCAAACACCACCTGGAGGAATACGGTCATTTTATCGTTATAGTCACCACCTGGAGGAATACGGTAATTTTATTGATATAGTCACCACCTGGAGGGATACAGTCATTTTATTGATATAGTCACCACCTGGAGGGATACAGTCATTTTATTGATATAGTCACCACCTGGAGGGATACAGTCATTTTATTGATATAGTCACCACCTGGAGGGATACAGTCATTTTATTGATATAGTCACCACCTGGAGGGATACAGTCATTTTATTGATATAGTCACCACCTGGAGGGATACAGTCATTTTATTGATATAGTCACCACCTGGAGGGATACAGTCATTTTATTGATATAGTCACCACCTGGAGGGATACAGTCATTTTATCGTTTTTCATAGTAGAGGGTTTTACGGCGCTCGCAACTGCATAAGGTCATATGAGCGCCAAGGGGCGGGTGTTAACAGAGAAGTCTTTACAGGGAATCAGACTTACTCTGCTCACCTCTCTAGTTTCAACAACACAAGGTCTGCTTCGACTATTAAGGCACCCCGGAAATAGCAGGTCACAAGAGTGTGACAAACATACAAAAGAAGTAGAGGAAAAATGACGATAGTAAGGATTTGGAAAGAAAAAGCAGCAGTTCCCTGTTGAAGATCAGGCACAGTTACGAGCGTGACATGATGAATCAGCCCATTTACAATTCTACTATGCTTGAACGAGAAATGTCCCCCCTTAGGGAATGGCCTATAGACACAACAGTCAGTGGCACTGCCCTGGGGGGTCACTCCAGTCAGTGGCACTGCCCCGGGGGGTCACTCCAGTCAGTGGCACTGCCCCGGGGGGTCACTCCAGTCAGTGGCACTGCCCCGGGGGGTTCACATAATCGTTACACTAGACAATACATATTTACAAGAATAACAACACACGGCATTCAGTTTGAGTAAAGAGATGCCCATCAAAGAGACAGTCAGAATAGTGTGCTAAGAAAGAAAAAAGACAGTCAGAGGAACAACAGAGGGATAGAAAATACAAAAACATCTACCACCAGTAGTGCCCTTCAACCGCTCTCAACATAAAGCATAACATCAGTACAGCCGTAAGCTGACGAAACGCCTTTTTTCCATTTTGGCACCAAAAGTTTTTATTTGCAAAATCAAAAGCCAGATCAGTTTCTCTACTAGTGTGGGAAAAATCAAAGTGAAACTGTGACTAACTTTTTAATGAATTTCAATTCAAATTTCTGAAGAACTTTATTTTTCAATGGTTATGCGGACAATAATCCTCATTTTCTCGAAATTCCTGTGAATAAAAATAGGGCATTTTGTCAGCTTACGGCAGAGAAGTAGTACCGTTCAACTGTTCACAACATGAAGCAAAACTTCTCTTGTGCGAGAGAAGTTTTAGTTTTAGTAGAGGTTTTACGGCCTTCGCAACTTGTATGAGAGAAAAAAACAACAACAAAAAACCCCCCAACCAAACAAACTACAAAACGAAATAAAAAGCAACAAGCAATGAAAAAAAGCGTGAACCATCACCTCGACCATGATAAGGATGATGATCATGACCTCGAGTCTTGTGTGGTGCGCGTCGTTGAGCTGGGAGCTGATCAGTTCGGTCAGTTCGCAGCAGTGGTTCAGCTTCTCGTTCATCACCTGCACACAGAGAAAATAGTATTTGACAGTTAATATAAGGCAGGAAATGCTGGGCCACCATGACACTTCGATATACTACAGTCGTTTAGTTTTAGTTTTAGTACAGGTTTTACGGCGCTCGCAACTGCATAAGGTCATATGAGCGCCAGAAGATTAGAGGTGTTACAAGAGAGTAACAAACATGAAAAAGAAGAAGGGGAGATCAGGACGATAGATGTTTAAGAGGAAAGAAGAAGCAAACCACAGCAGAGCGCCTGCCAACTACCCACAAAATTTAGTTTTTTGTCTCTGGTGTAAAAAGAACCCAACAGACTTAGGTGGGTTGCATGTGACACTGGTGATGTATAGAGGGAATGCTGTGACACTTTGGCAATGAATTCAATATGGTCAAACAACTTGCTCTAATCCGCCTCCTGTATAAGACAATCAGCTGTACAAACCACCTCTTACTATTTCCCCTTTGTAGTTTTTTCTTTTACATTACAATGACAGACCCAACCTGTCCATTGTTTCTGTAGGGATAAAAAAATGGTGTTTTTAGTATTTTAGTCAATGTTTTTTGTCGCTTACAACAATTTTTCTTCTCAACAATGGGTGGCCGCCTTCGACAATTTCAACTGCAATAAGACATAACTATGGTGCGAACCTTGCTCACGCAGTGATGATTATATTCTTAGTATCTTAGAATCAAACAAATAAACATTTTCAAGCCGACCTTTCGAGAATGGCTCAAATAATGTCTTCCACCATCCAGAGATGAACGAATATCAGTTCTCATTTTCCAAGACAGGCACAGAAATAGAATGTCATAGATTCCTACTTACTTACTTACTTAGGGTCCCTTTACACGTACAGTTCATTCATCGACAAACTGACAGTTTAACCGACGGACGCTAGATCTGGGTCATCATTGAACTGACCATTTGTCGACGAGAGAAGTTTTATTTTGACCTACAGTTTTTTTTATTGTGTCAGTCCTTGACAAAACACACAAAACAAACAAAAAAATAATAACTTGGTAATCTGGCATTAAATTGTGTTCCCCGCGTAATTTTGACTAATTTGGGTCGCTGATCACGAAAATCTTATTATTTTTTTGATTTGACCAATATTTAGGAACATTTTGGAATGCATTTTCAACCCACTTGGGGCAACATCAAAGAAGCCGCTCCCTCATCGTCATGCCACACACACACACACACACACACACACACACACACACACACACACACACAAACACACACACACACACACACACCCACACAGACCCGTGTTCTCCTGGTGATGTTGAGATGACTGTTCAGGGACAGATAGAGAGGCTCCAGACCGCTACGGTCCCAGTAGAAGTCACACACACACACACACCCACATACACACACACAGACACACACACCCGTGTTCTCCTGGTGATGTTGAGATGGCTGTTCAGGGACAGATAGAGAGGCTCCAGACCGCTACGGTCCCAGTAGAAGTCACACACACACATACACACACACACACAGACACACACACACAGACACAGACCCGTGTTCTCCTGGTGATGTTGAGATGACTGTTCAGCGAGATATAGAGAGGCTCCAGGCCGCTACGGTCCCAGTAGAAGTCCGGCGTGTCCAGTAGGTCAGAGCTCAGGTTGATCAAATGTCTGCGGAGAGGAGACCGGGACATACCTCGTTATACTGAAACTGTTTTAGTGAGTGTTTAGTTTTAGTAAGTGTTTTATGACGGCACTTGCAAAACAGAGGTTTCGGTGGTGGAGTGGTCAGTGCGCTCATCTCTGAAGCGGAAAGTCCGGGTTCGAGCCTCGGTTCGGACACAGATTTTTTTTGCCTCCTCCTACCCACCCAGCAGTAATGGGTACCTGACTTTGAGTTGGGGAAGTAAAGGCGGCGTGGAAAGGAACTGGCCACCCTACCACAATATACCGAAGGCCCAGGAAGTTGTCTCACTAACAAGGCAATCCCCAATGTCCGGATCGGATGCGGGAACAACTTTACTTTTACTTGCAACACAATAAGGTCATATAAGTGAAGAAGATTAGAGGTGTTACAAGAGAGTAACAAACACAATAAAGAAGGATGAGAGATAAAGACGATAGATGTTTGATAGGAAAGAAGAAGCAAACCACACCAGAGAACCCGCCAACCACCCACAGTGAGCGTTCAGAGCTCAGGTTGATCAGGTGCCTGCAGACAGGAGACGGGGACATACCTCGTTATACTGAAACTGTTTTAGCAAGCGTTTAGTTTTAGTAGTTTTAGTTGTCATAATCAATAGCGCCTGTGATAAGTGGGAGCTTACCAATAATTTTATTTTCAGCTATCATAATCAATAGCGTGTGTGATAAGTGGGAGCTTACCAGTAATTTTATTTTCAGCTATCACAATCAATAGCGAGAGTGTGGTAAGTGGGAGCCTTCCAGTAATCTTATTTCAGCTATCGTAACTGGTCGCTTTTAAGGACAAGCAGGCTATCCCGAAAAATGCTGTTTTGAGAAAATCCAAGTCAAAGTTTTTGGATTCTTATTCAGTTTCCTTAAAAGACAAGGAGAGTTTTCTCTATAACCAAACAAATATACACACCAATGAAACCAAACTGGTCATATATAGGAAGGGCAATGCCCACTTTTGGTGTAGGTCAAGTTTTCTGGAAACCCCCGAAATCTTGGTTAGCCCGCTAGTCCTTACAAGCGACCAACTAATAGCTGTGTGTGGTACGTGGGAGCCTACCTGAGGGAGAAAAGTTCTCCTGTCTTCATGAGGACCTCTCTGCGAGACATGCTGATCTTCCGGCCGTGGCGTAGATCCTGTGGGGGGGGGGGGAATCACATTTGACAGACTTTTAGTTTTTACGGTGCTCACAGCTGCATAAGGTCATATGAGCACCAAGGGGTGGATATCAACAGAGAAGTCCTTAACACTTTGCCGCCTCATCTCGCCAATGGGTGATATTATACCACCCAGTTTCTTTGGATTTTCCCCAAAATATGACGGTAAAGTGTTAAAGGGGACCAGGCTTACTCTGCTCACCTCTCTAGCTGCAACAGCACAAAGTCTGCTTCCACTATCAAGGCACCCCGGAAATAGCCGGTCACAAGAGTGTGACAAACATACAAAAGAAGTAGAGAAAAAATGACGATAGTGAGGATTAGGGGAAAAAAAGCAGCAGTTCCCTGTTACAGTTCAGGCACAGTTATGAGCATGACATTGATGAATCAGCCCATTTACAATTCTACTGTGTATAAGAACATGTTAATGCCCGCGCTTTGGGAATGGCCTAAAGACACTTCAGTCAGTGGCACCGCCCCAGGAGGTATTTGACAGACTGACCCATGATGGGGGTACCGGTGGTGAGGGGGAATAGTGAAGTGTTTTAGTTTTAGAAAGTGTTTCACGGCACTTGCAACACAATAAGGTCAGATAAGTGCCAAAGATTAGAGGTGTTACATGAGAGCAACAAACACAAAAAAGAAGGAGGGGAGATACAGACAATAGATGATAGATAGGAAAGAAGAAGCAAACCACACCAGAGCACCCACCAACAACCCACGTTTTTTTGATGGGTTTGCCATTAAACAAACACAGCTCTGCACAGTTACCTCTGTGACTTTTTCGATCGAGGAGACAAATTTGCTGAGGGAGGCTTCCCATATCGCCAGTTTGACCGACTGCGCCAGGGCGTTGGAGAAGGTATAGAGCTCCAGCAGGCGCTGCGAGCTTTCCTGATCACCCTCGGAGAACTGGATGATGTCACCTGATAGTCCAGTGTTCCCTCTAGAAAAGCAAAAACAAAACAAAAATATTCTGTGAATCTAAAGATAGATCACTCACACAATAGCATTTACAAAAATATAAATGGGGATGGTGCCAGCTTGGAAGCCAAATCCAGTCTGTGGGTGGTTGGCAGGTGCTCTGGTGTGGTTTGCTCCTTCTTTCCTATCAAACATCTATCATCCTTATCTCCCCTCCTTCTTTTTTGTGTTTGTTACTCTCTTGTAACACGTAATACATTCTTCGGCACTTTTATGACTTTATTGTGTTGCAAGTGCCGTAAAACCCTTAATAAAACTTTTAAAATTCTAAAAGATAGATCACTCACAACCAATCAATGAGTTGAGGAGGATAGATCAATCCACAATCTTCCAAACCCCCCCCCCACCCAAAAAGCAAAAAAAGGAAAAAATACCTCACACAAATTAGAGATTTTAACCCTATCCCTACGTCATGTTTTACAATCGTATCCATACGATGTTGGGAACTCTGTGCCACCACTTAACCCTATCCGTACGTCGTGTTTTATTATCGTATCCATACGTCGTGGGGAACTCTGTGCCACCACTTTCCAAAGAGGAAATTAACTCATGAATCCAATCCGTACGTTTTGCATAGCAGTCTGTAAAAATGATTTTTTGAGAAATACTGAAAGTTTCATAGAGATCTTCGTACTAGAAGTATTCTAAAATGTGAAGAATACAACACTGGGGGTACAAAATGACCCCACGGCGTACGGCTAGGGTTAAAGAATTATGTTAAAAAGTCCATGTGAACTTACACAAATTAGAGATTTCAAAGAATTCTGCGAAAAAGTCCATATGCACCTACACAAATTAGAGATTTTAAAGAATTCTGTGAAAAAGTCCATGTGCACCTACACAAATTAGAGATTTTAAAGAATTCTGTGAAAAAGTTCACATGCACTTACTTGACATACGTAAAGTCCATCTCCTCCTTCTCGTAGAACATGAGGGAAGTGAAGTACGGGCCCTCCGAGTACTTGACCAGCATCTTCAGGAACGCCCCTCTCTGGGAGAGAAACACACACACGCTGGATGGTCAACTAAGTGACCAATGAGCTGTCCGTTATTTTGACGGGTAGCCACTGACTTCACAACGATACCACGCGTCTATTCGACTCAAAGACATGGCCGGCTAAGTGACTAATGAGCTGTCCGTTATTTTGACCGGTAGCAGTATGTCAGAAAAAGAGGCATGCATTCTAAAAAGTGATGCAGTATCTTTATAATGGGGTATAGATAATAACATTTAACAATGTATAAAGGTAAATGAAAAAATATTATGAAAATTAAAGTTTAATTACGTTTGTTCATTTAGAAAAATGCGCAAATTCGGTACCCCCGAAACTGAGAATATACGCTCTTGGGACAGTGGGAGGTACAAGCGCTGCTGAAAATATACGCGCATGGGACTGGAAGGGTTAACTTGTTGAAATATTAAATCTTCAGATTGTAACATAGACCTTGGCTCTCATCATATTACCTTTATGCAGTTGCGAGCGCCATAAAATCTCTACTAGAACTAACTGACACAGACCTACCTCAATCTCAGGGATACACCAGAACACAACGGATCCATCTCTAGGGAAAGAAAAGACATGAAGAACCATTAAGATTATCAGAAAGTATCTCTAAGATACTAGTGTACATGATATATTTTAATGTGGATGTAGTTTTTACTTTTTCCTATTAAACCCTCCAGATGTCCTTGACCCATTTAACCCTATCCGTACGTCGTGTTTTACTATCGTATCCATACGACGTGGGGAACTCTGTGTCACCACTTTAAAAAAAAAAGGAAATTTACCTGTTAATCTGATCTGTACGCTTTGCATAGCTGTCTGTCAAAATTATTCTTTGAGAAATACTGAAAGTTTCAAAGAGATCTTCTCACTAGAAGTATTCTAAAATGTGAAGAATACAACCCCGGGGGTACAGAATGACCCCAGGACGTACGGATAGGGTCAATTAAATCCCTGAGTCGACTAGGGCAACTTAATAAGTCGTAACTTTGCTTGGAATTGAGTCCATTCCTCCAATTTTTGTAAATCACTGATTCCACCTGTTTCAGCACATAAAAATTAATTTTACCCTGAGGCCAAAGACAGGGTGCAACAACGTTTGAGTAAGCCACCAAATGAGGTCTACTGTTATCTTCACTCCTCTTACTAAAAAAAATCCAGCATAAAAATGGACAAATAAAAACACGTAATGAGATATCGTGCCATGCATTAAGATAGAAAGAACAGTCCTTCGTCTAGTTGCATAACATTTATCGTGTTCATTATAACTAA